CAGGTTTCCTGAGTCGGAGAAAGAAGCAAAGGCACTCTGGCGATGTGCTCGTGAAGGCTGGTACGAGGCGCGGTCTGCCTTCACTGAAAGCATTAGGAAGAGGCCATTAAACTGCTCTGACATCTGGCGATAAGGCCTCCCAATCCAGAGCTAGTGTTTCTCAAACCCTCTTCCCACAACTCCCCACAGGCCGATGCCAATCTTTCGCAGTGCCCTTTATCACTCGCGGGGCAAAGAAGGGAAACCAGGCCCGCTTTCTTCTGAGAAAGTAAAGAAAGGACAAAACAGGACACCATCTTCAGCCCAGGGCAGCTAAGAACCAAGACAAATAAAAGGTGTCAGGTTCGCGCTGCGCTCCGGGCATAAAAGTGGACTAAAAAAGCTAAGTATGTGTGCTTAAGGAAAAAAAAAAAATCAAAGCATTAATTAAAAAAAATCTAAAAGCATCAAAACTCTCCCAGCCAGAACAGGTAAAGGGTAGCCAAGAAATGTCTGCCACAGAAGCGTAACAAAGGGACACTTGTCTACCGGATATGAAAACATTCCACCTGCGATGGTTTCAGCGGGTGGCACTGGCCTGAGGACAGACCGGAGGGTCGATGGGACACACGGGAAATGCACAGACACAGCCAGGAATTGCGAGGAGGGAGAGGGCGTCTGCGCTGGTAGGGGGCCGGGGGCTGCTTCACCAGGTGCTGCTGAGACATAATACTAGCTGGGGAACAGGAGGTCTGGGTGTTTCCAGCCCTTCTAGAATCAGGGGAAAAAATGTTGCTTAAAAAAAAATGTCCCCTGGGCATTAAGTTTCTGAGCTTAGAAAACAACAACAACACACACAACAACCAAAACCCCCTAAAATCAGAAAGGAAAACACTGTGTATCAAACAACATAATCAAAAAAAAAAGGAAGAAGAGCAAAAAGAAGAAGAAAAATATGGGAAAAAGATGAATTGCAGCGAGTAATGAGAGACACGAGGAATCCGGGGCGTCTGATGACCCATCACTCAGCAGCTGAATGAATTACTATGGAGGAATCGCGGCTCCACTTTAAAGTGGAATTACCTAGAACACACACACGTTGCAGCTGCGTCGACACACACTATTTTATTTACTTGTAGAACTCCCGATACCCAGCGCCTTCAAGGAAACTTACTTGAGGATCACTTCAGAGCTCTACCACTTACCACTTCAGAAGCAAGTCTCCTTCGAATTTCTTTTTAAGTGCATTACATGGATAGAGCTAAGGAGACACCCACACATGCACCTGAAAGCTTTCTTGAAGCTCACCCTGTGCAAAACCACCTCCCTGTTGATTCGCCTTCTTCCACTAAATCTGTTTGCCCTCTCATCTTCTCCATCTCAATAAATGACACACCCACCCACCCTGCTCTTCAGGGTCAAGTCCTCGAAGTCACTGCTAATTCCTCTCTGCTTACTCCTCAGGAGCACTGCTCCTGCTCCATCTGGCACGTACCCACGAACCAACCACTGCTTTCTCCACTGCTACCACACTACCCTGGCCATCCTGATCTCCACCTGGGTGACCCCCTACCCCTCCTTGGTTCCCTACAATCCATCATCCCCCACATACTAGGCACGAGGAACTTTTCAGAACTTGATGCAATAGCCTCCCTTTCCTGCCTCAATTATCAGCGGGCTTCCTAATTCATTTAGAATAAGATTTCACTTGCCCTGGCTGGTGTGGCTCAGTGGATTAAGCGCTGGTCAGCGAATCAAAGGGTTGCAGGTTCAATTCCCAGTCAGGGCACATGCCTGGGTTGTGGTCCATGTCCCCAGTAGGGGGCGTGCCAGAGGCAACCACACACTGATATTTCTCTCCCTGTCTTTCTCCCCCTCTTCCCCTTTCTCTAAAAAATTAGTAAATAAAATCTTAAAACACCAGGCCTCCATCCTCTTTCTAGGTTCCTTTCCAGGCTGGTCCCTGCCTTCTAATTAACCAGCTCTTCCCACTGAGTTGCATGTCAGTGACACTCACAACCAGTTCCTCCTCATCAGGTCTCAGCTTAAACGCCACCACTTTCTCTGAGGTCCTTCCCCAACCACCAAAAAGAAGGCACCGCCCCACCCTGCCCTTACCCTGTTCTATTTTCTCCTCAGTGCCCATCACTAACTAGCAGCAACCCTCTTTTTAGCGTCTGTCCCTCCCACCGGGACAGCAGCTGCTCCGTGACAACAAGTATCCCCCACTTGGTGTCCCCAGTCAAGAGTCTGGCTTCAGGGGAGCCGCGCACGTCCCTGCTGAGCACAGGCATAAATTCAAAGTGTGCGTATCTGAACACGTTGGCCAATCAGGATCACGTCTCTGGCTTGAACAGCCACCTGCTCGGGGCCTGTGAAAGAAGTCAGCCCTGGGTGGACCCTGATCTGATACACTCTGAGTTTCGTCTGTGCCCATTTTTAAAAAATCACTTTCTCACTCGCTCTCTGCAGTCACTGCATTGCTAAGAATACCTGCTGGTGGCCCCTCTCCCTACCTCAAGCACATGGTAGGTCTGAAAAGTAAAAGTCCGTAGCGATAGGGCTGTCCTGTCATCAAAAGCACCAGCCTCAGTGCAGACGGGCTTATCTCCTCGAACGTTTCAAAGGTTATTTTAAGTTCCTCCCTGAGTGATTACCTAGTCCCTAGACCTCCCTTCTGACATTTTCAATACGCCAGCATGGAAGCACAACATGGAAGCCAGTATCCAGCTAGAGGTGTACCTTGCGCTAGAAGATTCACGCTGCTTTTTATACTTGAACCGTGCATGAAATGTCCAATTTAAGGGCTGAGTGTGGACTTCTGGCCCCGGGTGCAAAGCACAGCAAAGTCATAATCATAAGTTACGCCCCGTAACCTCCACCCCAACTCAGGCCGGCCTCCAAAGTTCCTTAGGGCTAAAATCATCTTGTGCCATCTCTTTGCAGCCAGTCTAAACACAGGGTGGACAGCTGAGAAGCAGAGGACCTTACCAGGCGGGGCAGGTAACTGTGACTTCTTAAAATCAGAGAGATTAAAAAAAAAGGAATGTGGGAGAGTTGACAGGATGATTAGCTAGGATACACTGTTTCCCCCCTAAGGATTTTCCTGTATCTGAAGTATACTTATGAAATAAAAAGGAAAGCACAGTTATCACAAAAAAGGAAGATAGGATACAATGTTTCCCGTAAAAGTGCTTCCCTTTATCAGAAAGGCAGCGGTCACAAAGGGAGAGGAAACAGTGTAAATCGCGTCTCCACTTTCCCCCCAACTGCCGCAAAGGAAACAAACAATGGGATAAAATATACATCTCAAAGAGATGCTGTGGGAGACTTGGCGGGAGGCCAAGAGAGGTCAAGCATGGGCTTTGGGACAAGATCACCCCCAAGGGTAAAATACTTGGTTCAGTCAGCACTGCACTTTCTGACTATTGCTGGTCTAACGGAACCCTGCTGGTTGGTGTATACTGATTCTGTACCCATGAAAATGTATTTCTTCGGCCGGGGGGAGGGACAAGGAAGGAGTGGCACTACCTACTATTGGAACAAACTGCTCTTTGATCATTGTCCTCAATGTTGTACATTCACAGGGTCTATCACCAAACTGCAGTCCTGTGGGTTTACTTCTGAAACCTCTCAGTGGAGAATTAAGGTAGCTCAGCCTCAATCTCGGATGCGGATATATCTCTTGTGGAAAAAAAAAAAAACCCACGCAATTTGCATAAATTCTGGATCATTCACAGTAAACATGAGAGGGGGGAAAAACCTTGACCTTGCAGATTCTCAAACTGCGAATTTAATCTAACTTTACATTACAGACATTTGAAGCTTTTCAGTCTCTCAGGACCCTCCCGGGCAGAACCTGAGCCCTGAATTCTGACAAGATCCTACTGGAAACTCACAGGGCTTGAGGCATCGAAAGGGCAGACATCACTCTGGCTCTTTTATCCTTTTTCAATCCTCTACATCCTCCCTTAGAGAAACGGGGATCCAGGAAGCTTTCCCCCTCACAATCTCCTCATGCCTGAAAATTCGGACCAGGGCTAGATTTAAAAGCCAAAGTCACAAAGGTATTGGTTGGAAGCGAAGAACCACCACCAGCAACCAGCTTGGCCTTGCTCAGCACTCAGGGCTGGAAAAGTCTATTCCCAGACGACCTACCCGCGCTGGCTGGCCTGTTCTTCAGCATTTCGGTCTTTCACACACACGGAGGTTTTTCTTGAAGTGCCTTCATGAATTCATACACTTCTCCTATCTCCAATGCACTCCGATACAAAGCTGCTGTTCCCGAATCATCTGCCTTCGGAAGGCGACTTTGGCTAATCCCTTTGCTAATCCTGAACATGATTCCAGCCACTTTTATGACTCATCTGGCCAACTAGGGCCCAGACGACGGATATCATCACTAACCGGGGCGAGTTAATACCAGATCCACCAGGGGCCAGGGGCTGCTTTCCCCGAAGGCTCTCCTTCCATTTACTGAACAGACTGGTGGGCTCCGTGAGCGGAGAGCACCCCCTTCCACTCACAGGAGTGCTGCCAACAGTAAAATCCACACGCAGACCATTGGAAGGGGTCTCGTCAGGTTAATTCACACGGGGCCCTAGTTCTGCAAGGGCACACAAGTGGCTTTCGAAGAATCAAATAATCACCACCTCTGTCACAGGTAAGAGTTTTTCTAACATTTTGAACAGGGAAACGCGTTCAGTCAGGCCCGTCTAACAAAGGAGACAGGTTGGCCCTGAAAAGCCGAAGTGCCTTTCACAGAGTCAGGGGGATGAAGACCACACCCGAAGAGGACACCCTAGTGCATATGACCCCAAAGCCCATGCTCTTGAGCGTGGCGCTCCACATCCTGCCTTTGACCTCTGCTGGCAATGCTTGGCATCGTCCGAGGAGTGGGTACCCTGGCAGCCTAGGTTCTGGGAGTCGGGCAAAAGCTCGAGCTGAGCCTCGGAGGGTCTGCAGGGCTGCCCGCCAGGATGCTGGATGCAGGAGGAGGTGCCCGTGGACCGGGGGCTCACCTGTAGACGGCCACGGCCCGGGTCTGCAGGTATTTCTGGGCGGTCATCACTCCCACGAAGAGAAAGTTCTTGTCTCGCTGGCCGCCATCCGGGGCCGTGCCGTGAGGCCAGAGCTGCGCCCCGCGCGCATCGCCCCGCGCCCCGCCGGCTTGGGAAGCCGCCGCCTGCCCGGGCCGGCAGCCCTCGGGGCTGGCACGGCGCCGCGGGCCCACTCGCTTCAGCTCGGAGGCGCGGGGCAGGACGAGCCGCGACGCCAGCACGAAGCCCAGCACGAGCCCAAGCAGCACGCTGAGCCAGGCGCGCCGGCCGCGCGCTGCCATATCCGCGCCGCTCCGCCCGCCGGGCCGCCGCCGCCGCCGCAGGCTCCGCGCGCCCTCAGTGTGCTGCCCCCGCCCGCGGAGGCCAGCCGGCCCTAGCGCCGCGAGGCTCGGCCCCGGCAGCGCGGCGGCCGCCGCGGGCCCGCCGCGCCCATCGCGGCTCCCGAGCCGCCCGCAGGCCCCGCGCCGGCGCTTTGTTCCGCACGCCCCCCGCTGCGGCCTGCGCCTTTAAGAGGGGACCATGTCCGGCGCGCGCCGGCCGCGGCTCCGGCGCAAGTCGGCGGCGGCGGCAGCGGCGGAGGCGGCTCCTCCCGCTCGCGCGCGGAGGCGCGGGGCCAGCGCAACGGTGACTGCAGTGGCAGCCGAGTCCGCGCCGCTGTCCCGCCCTGCCCGCGTCCCCCGGCCGGATCGGCTGCGATCGCGCGGCGCCCGTCCCCGTGCTCTTCGTGCCCGGCGCCGCCGCTGCAGCTGCACATCCTCCGGCTTAGCTCGCCATTGCAACAGGAGCCCCTCACGTCACGCACGGCGCGTTTAAGAAGCGGCCGGGCGGCGAGGCGTCGTGGCCCCTCTCGGGATCCGTCCGCGCCCTCTGATTGGTGCAAAAGTGAATGGGGGGCGGTTCACGTGGCCAAAGTTTGACCAAAAAAAAAAAGAAAGCCCTCCCAACGCGCGCGGCGCCCCACCCGCGCAGTCGGCAGCGGTCTCGCCGAGTGGAGGGGGCGTGGGGCCGGGCTCGGCGCCCGCGGGGACGCAGCTGCGGGACGCCGGCAGCCCGTCCCCCGCCCAGTGGCCACGCCCCCGCCTGGCGGCCACGCCCCCGCCTGGCGCGCGGAGCTGAGGCTCTGGGGGCCGCTGCGCTCCTGCGGGCTGTGCGGCCAACGTGACTTGGAGGAGGGAGTTTTGAAGAAGGGGCTTCCTAGTCCCCGGACTCCCCCGGAACGGCGGGCTCGCGCTGCAGAGACTGACCTCGGATAAACCCGCCGTTCCGGCCCCGCGCCGTCGGGCGTACACTGTGTCTTTGTCCGCGCCTTCGTCCTGCGGGCGGGGCGGGCACGTACGGAACCAGCAGCCTCAGAGCTGTTGGAGGCGGGCACGCAGGGGGTGGGGGGGTGAAGCGTGAATTCCGCTACCTTGTTCCCTGTCTCTGGTTTCTCAGCTTAAAAAAGGCGAGCGTGTTTGATGTCCAAGCTGCGAACAGTACCCGCTTTTCAAGGACGTGGAAGAGACGGCAGGGGCCGTGCATCCTCGGTTGTGAGGTCCCACTTTTATTTGCGTTCTGTGGGGGCAGACAGTCGGCCAGGGCCCTCGCCTGAATCTTTGTCAGCCTTTGAGCACGGTGCATCTAGACACGTAAAAGGAGTTCTAAAGATAGGTTTTGAATGTTTAATTTTATGTATTTCCTTAAAAAATAAAATTAAAATGAGCCAAGGCAACAAAAGCTGTATAGAGTAAATATAGGGTGGGGCAAAAGTCGGTTTACGGTTGTGAGTACATGAAACACAGTTTATTCTTGTATTAATATTTATTGCATTTTTTCCCATTGGAACAACTGTAAATCTACTCCCCCCACCCCCCGCACCCTGTATTAGTCTCGTTACTTACTCGCCAATATATTGGGGTTTTTAAATGAAACCTCTGGAGACCAAAAGATTTTCCTGGGACTTCAGAGGCAGAAAAGCAAGCATGCTCCAGATTATCCTTGGATCTCCATTGTTAATATGATCAACCGATTGAAATATTACACAACTTAAAGTGCTTACTTTGGAAGATACTCCATGTCTGTAGCTGAAGGGTCGTCACTCTTGTTTATCATTCTTGGGATTGTACCACTCTCTTTGACAATTGTGATTTATGTCAAAAATAGTTCATTGCCCACCTTCCCGCAGACGTCCTCCCCAAGAAGCAGCCCACGTCTAAAATTACTCATTATGCGGTAAATACAGGATCCCGGTAGTGGTCATGGGAGAAATACAGAAAACTATGAATTAGAGGCTCAAAACCACCCAAATGGGTTTTCAGTAAGGCCATCAGCCTCAAATGCTGACTGGTCAGCAGATCCCCCAAATTCAGCAATGCCCCACCATAACACACAACAATTTCCATCAAGCACACATCCGACAAGATACAGATGTTCAATTTTGTGACATTTTTAGTGACTCCCTTATTCTAACCTGCTTTCAACTTCTCTATGTTTCTTCTCCTTCTGGACTAAAACCCAATGAGAAGTACGTAAGTGTATGATGGGAACTAACATTTTGAGAAGCCTGTTTTGTCCTCAGGTCCTGGGGCAACATCCTCACCTGCCTCACCTGCAAAGCCAGAGGGAGTGTTTCCTGTGAAGTGCAGGGAGATGGGGTCCCCAGGTTAGAGCACCTGGTCTCCAGGAGAAGGAGCCTATGACATAGGAAAAGCAGAGGAGTGCCAGACCAGGGAAGGGTGGGCTCTATTAAAGTGGGCCAGGGGCACCAGGGGCCTTCACACTGGGGCAAGGCAAGTGTAGCCTGGGGCAAGGGGGAAACGCCAGCACAGCCGGAAGGAGCAGCTGAATGGCCAAGTTCAGGTGGATCTGCTGGGGAGCCATCCCAGAGTGTCTCAGTGAGGGCCCCAGGAGAGGCCAGGGTCAGGAGGCAGAGCTGTCCTGGGTTGGGATTTCACAGTCGGAGGCAAATGCCTGGAACCAAGGAGTCTGGTGACAGCCAGAGGCCCAAGGGGACAGATGATGGAGAGAGACTAGCCCCACCAGCCTGCACACAGCCAATACTGGGTCCAAGGAGGACGCAGACCCTACTCCACCCCCAGTGCATACACACTGCACCCCTTACCCCCATCCTCCTGGAGAGGAGGGGCAACTCCTCACTGCCCACACCGCCCTCCCCTGACGTTATTGCTAAGGGTGAGGAAAGGTTAATCAGATTTCCTAGGCACGGCACCTCAGTAAGGTGAGGAAAGAAAGCTGCCTCCATTTCGCCGTAGTCAGAGCCCTCTCTGTTAAGTGGGGGGCATCATGGGAGTGATGCCTTTTTATTTTAAAGGGAGTGTCCTGAATCGTCATCAGGTAGACGTGTGAGGGAAACCCCAAGCTCCAGTGATTTGATGATCTAAGGGTACACACACCCTGCCTCAGAGGGGTCCTGGGCAGGGTCAGGGACACAGAGCCTGGGTTCTGGTCTTCCTTCTACCTGTCTGGACAAGCCGCATCCCCACTCAGCTCTGTTGCCTTGTCTCTAAATGGGTCTCTCCACCACATCCCATTAACAGTTCCTCCTCAGTGATTCCAGACTGATGTGGAGAAATTTGTTCAGAAACACGTCGTCTGACATCCTGCTTTCATGCCTGTAATTCTCCATGATATGGAATTAAAACTTACCTGTACCCGCCTTGGCTGGTGTGGTTCAGTGGTACCAGCACTGGCCTATGAACCAAAGGGTCACTGGTTTGATTCCCAGTCAGGGCACATGCCTGGGTCGTGGGCCAGGTGCCCAGTAGGGGGCGTGTGAGAGGCAACCACACGGTGCTATTTCTCTCCCTCCTTCTCCCTCACTTCCCCCTGCCTAAAAGTAAAATAAATAAAATCTTAAAAAAAAAACCTTCCACACATGTTCCATTTCTTTTTGTGGCTGATACATTGAACGCTTATTACAGGTAGACTCTTTCATGTAATGTACAGTAATTTTCTCGGAGGCCCTTAGTAAATACCTCAATTGTTGGTTGGCAGCAAGCCCTGAACAAGTGGACAGAGTTCCTGTAAGGACTTCTTTAAAGATGGAGGGCCTGCAGAACGTGGTAATAATTTTTTAAAAACCTTTAGCTAGACCTCTTTGAAGAAAGAGCAGATGTCGAGGAGGAACTTATAATAAGTCATCCTTTCTGAAAGCCTTGTACATTCCCTTGGTAGCAGAAAAATCCATGATGACCATTTTACTAATATTACCATTTAACCTCTCTTAACCTAATAGAACTTTGCTTTATTATTAATGCTGCTATTTCAGGTCCTCGTTAGCTAATTAATTTCACTCAATATTTCCTTCCATTTGTCGCACTTCCAGCCAGACACAGGAAAGGGCGAGTGATTATGGCTTACATTCCGGCCCCAGACACTGGCGGATCTGACACTGGTTGTTCTAGAATGTTCTTCCAGTTTGCTTGGTCTGCTTCCCAGCTCTGCCCATTCTTTCCGTCTGATATTGATTTGGTGTGTGTGTGCTTCTCATACAAGGGTGTGTTTGTAGGTATGAGAGAGAGAGAGAGAGAGAGAGAGAGAGAGAGAAGAAATTTAGCACCACTCCCGGCCTGGGCGGAAGGGATGTAATCTTACTAACTAGAGAACGCTGTCTGGCGCCCCACAGGACTTTTGGGAAACAGCCTGAATGTTCCCTGGGAGATAACCTCACTGCAGAGTCTGGGGACTGGCAGCTTCCAGTCCAAGACTTAATCCCTGTGTAGCGGACCAGTTTGCCTTTCCCACCCGTGGCCAAGACATGCCAATAATCTTTAGAGTGGTGCCAGAATTTCCACAGCTGCAGAGTCTGCAGAAAGGCCAAGCTTCCCTTCCACAGGACGGATGAGGGAGGCTCCCGTTCTCAGAGCCCAGGCGCTGGTCGGCTGCTCAGCAGTCTCGGTGCCACCGGGGAGGGGGTGGGGGGGTCCCCACCGTGGTGGTCCGGCCGGGATGCCTGGTGGAAGGCAACACTCCAGGTGTGCAGCTCAAACTCTCTTTATGTGACTCCTAGGCCTCATGAAATTGCTTGGGAGGGGGGCGGAGGGTGGAATTCAAGCTGCGGGAGGAGGTTTAGGCTGTGAATCCGGGCGGCAGAAATTCAGAGCCACAAACACATGAAGTAGAACAAAAGAAGCTGACATCAGGCCATGAACCCCAGGAAGAGACAGCTCCCTTCCCGGATCTCCCGCACCCTCTAGTACCGTGTCTCGGTGCCTTTACTGGGTTTAAATTAGACTTCACTGTTTCCAATCACTAATCGCTAGACGCGTACCTCGTGGCCAGTTGTGCCAGGTGTGGCTAACACCACAATGAATATCTCCACACATACGATCTTTTTTTTTCTTTTGAAATATGAGCATATGGCCCTGCAACCCCTTATGTCGGGACCTCTGGTTCC